AAGAAGAAACTAATAATTTGTATAATTATATGACAATAATTATCTAACAATGTTTTCTTTTAATAAATCGATCCCTACAACAATTGCAAGACATTAAATTAGTAAATATATATTGATTTATGCTCCTATCTGATAAAAAATTTTAGAAAAAATTTGCATCACGTCTAGCTTGTTGTAAGATTTTGTTATAATTGAAATTAAGTTGTCATTTTGAGTATAATTATTACCCCACAATATACAATTTGAACTTTGATTTCGCAAGTACGAAATATCATTATATTGGGTTTATACGTTTTTCACTAGTATTTTTTTTTTCAAAATTAACTACAATAATTTCAAGTATTTTAAGTTGTATTGCTTCTTCTTCTTCTTTTCACATTTCAAGAAAAAAGGGATGATTGAAATTCTTACTCCATGTCTGGGGCAATTAAATATGAAAGGGTTCGGGCGTGGAGGGGAGAAAATAAAAGAAAAGAAAATGAATGAAATATACACTTTCATTTGGATAATTTATAAAACAACAAAAATAAAGAACGGTTTTTTCATTTCCTCACCCCTCTCCTTTATCACCCTCAATCACACCCTTAATCAAAACAATAAATTTCTAAAAGTAAAAATTAAAATATTAAATGTATCATTTTATTAAATTATTACTCTTACTATTTGGATATAAAGTTTTGCATTATTAAATTACCACCATGAGTTGGCAAAAAAAATTTAATTATTATATGGGAGGTGGATATTGGATAAGGACGCCTACTGTGAAGCAAAATTACCAATTGTGTAAATAACATTTAGTAACCGGTTTGGGTCGTGAAAGAAGATGGGAACTTATCCATGTACAACCAAACCAACCCCTATAAAATGCAACACTTTCAACCATCCTTACAGTCTTCCGCACCCCCAATACACACACCATTTCTGCAAACAATAAAGAGTTTCTTCTTGTCTTTTCAATGGCGTCAAGGAACAGCTTCTTCCTCACGAAACCGAGTTACATCTACCCCACCACGGAATCCGAAACCTCATTCAGTACGGTTGATAATCTTGAATTCCAAGAAGCTGATTTCTGGAGCAGTGTAAATGAAACTGCTGCCGTTGTGCCCATGGACGGGAAAAAACAACAAGTACTCACTTCGCGTTCGTCGAAGAGAAGCGCCAGAGGTAGTGATCGGAGCGGCCTGGTGGCACCGTCGTCGGTTCCGGTGAACGTACCGGACTGGTCCAAGATTCTGAAGGAGGAGTACAGGGAACGCCGACACAGAGACAGCGACGATGATGCTGATGAGAACAATGACGAGGACGATCAAGACAGCCGGGTTCCCCCGCACGAGTTCCTGGCGCGGAGGAGAGGGGCATCGTTTTCGGTTCATGAAGGGATAGGGAGGACTCTTAAGGGAAGGGATTTGCGCCGAGTGAGGAACGCGATTTGGAAGAAAACAGGATTCGAAGATTAACAGCTAAAAAGTAATAAGAATTACTAGAAGATTATCGGCAGTTTTATATGCCATAGACTAGGAAGGTTCAGCCTGCGTCATTCTCTATTCAGGATCATGATTCTAACATTATCCTCTATTTTATGAGATTCGTCAGAGGATTGTTTTGTGTTTATGTAACCATCTGATTCTGAGATTTTGGGGAAGATGTCAATGTTTAGATTGATTGGAATGGAAATTTATGTTTTCACTACTAATTTTTGGGTATATAATTTTTTTTAAGAAAGTGTGGTGTTGTGAAAATTATTATAAATTACATGATTAAAATTATTAGATAAAAATAAATATGTTATAATTTAATATAATTTATAGAATAAAATTAAAAACTCATATTTAAAAAAAAAAATTTAGAGAAGTGAAGTGAAGGGAAAGTGTGGAAGGTGCCGGTGGTTGAGAGGAAAGCTACGGGGTAGCTAGAACAAATTCTCAAGTAATTAAGTTCAGTTGTTTCTCTGACAAACCCAACTCCTTTCTCTATTTGGTTTTCTACTCCTGTTTGTTTGGTGTGGTGTTATAAGGTCTGACTTTTTGAAGAAAATAAATAATTACAAAGTATAATTATTACCACCAACAAAACTGTTAAAAACCCCAATAATTTTCTTGAATAATAATGGTATTTTTAACGCCAATGGTGTATCCTTAACACCCTTTTTTTAAGTGAGAATAACCAATGCCCCCCCTAAAGGAGTCCTATACTCCTAAGAGCATTTGATACTGCCCACGGTTTCGCCTAATTAATCACCAAATCTAGCGACTGTTTAGTATAATTTTAATATTTCGTAAAAGTCTTATCGAAGGGAATCTATTGTAAAATACCTTTCTTTTCAAAGTGTTATTATTTTAATAGAAAAGAATTAGTTTCCTTTATTAATATATACACTGAGACGGAAGTAAGATTCGCTAGAACTATATGGAAATTTGATGTAATGAAAAATAATAAAGTAAAAAAAAAAAAAGAAGAAAAAAGAAGAAGAAGAATGAAATACCATATGCCACAAAAATCAATCAACTGTATCAAACTTCCAATGGAAATCCAAGGAAGAAAGGAAAACTCAAAAGGAACAAAACTAAATGGCTACATCAATAATGCTGGACATGAATTCAAGAAAACGAAGGGGAAAGAAAACCGAGGGAGGACAAAATGTTACCCGGCAAAATACAGGCTCCCTAAGCGCGGGGAGGGGACCCATACCGTGGGAAAACCTAAGCTGCATTTATTCGGTTACGTAGTGGAGAAGGATTGGGGTGCC